TAATTTTAAGGAAAAAAGAAGATTAGCTCAGGATAGGAAAGAGTGGAGGTACGTGTCCAACCAGTCTTAGGACTGACGACCTTATGATGAATAAGTATGAAGTTGATAGAACTATTTATTGCATTTTAACTTGAATTTTTTGATTTTAATTAATTTATTTAAAATATTTAAAAATGTTTCTAATTGTATGTATGTCCAATTAAAATCTCATCTAATAACGGAATTAGTAGAAACATTTTTTGAGCAAATTATGTTTCGATATTATTTTAATTTCCAAATGACTCGGAAATATTTCAGAATATATATTATATTATTTAATGTTCTGTATCTTTATTAACAAATACTTGATTATATAAAATTATACAGTGTGTTTGTAAGGAAATTGTATTAGATAGAGGATTTAATGGGCTTGCCATCGCTAATCGTTCTATTCATAAGTAAATAAATGATTTATGTTACTGATAAGTACCAATTTTTGTTTATGAACGTTAATTTCGCACCTTGATGAAGATATGATCTAATAATACATTTGTAGTGGTGAGGTATTAAATTATTTGAGATTCGATTTCATTTTTACTTTTTAAAACGCAGATTTAAAAAAATTGGTATAGGTTAGTCAGTAATCAATAATCAATTTGAGATTGTTATAGTTATAATAAAAAGTAGACAAAAATTGTAGTAAATGAAAATTATTAATTGGTTCCCATTATTTTGAAAAAAGTTTTTGACAAAAGTTGTACGATTTCAAAGGCAAAATCCTAGATGTGATCTTGACCTTGAATTTCAAAAAGATACTACATCTACCTCTTGCTCCTAGTCGGCTTTCCGCCTAGGTACTTAGAAACGTAGCCCACCCTACTATTCGAACAAATTACCGTAATTAGATTTGTCCATACTCTGGATGACGCCGAGTCTTATGGGCAGCTCTCCGACTATTTGCTTAACTACTATAATAAGCACTGTTAACATATTGAAAATAAACTTTTCACATTAGTGCTTAATAATTTCAGGCAGCAGCATGTTATTTTACAAATAAGATGAATAAATTATGTATGATTGGCTTCCTAATACGAAGAGTGGAATATATGTACAATGTACACATATATTATGTGCATGTTTACACATGTAATAGTCTTAGAATGTGTTACCCAATTTGTAATACAAGCATAATCTAGGTACACTATAAATAATCATCTTGCTCCGTGAACAATCAATAACATCAGCAATAAATGTATTAATCGTTGTAACTGAATTAACAAGATAGAGACTGTGATAATCAAGCATATCTAAGAAAAAAAGGGAAGCCACTTTATATTCATTAAACGTAAAACAGTGAAAAATTTACTTTTCTTCCAAATGAAAGGAAAAGTCACAAATGAGTTAGTTGTTTTTTACAAAAAATTGGTGACAATTAATTGAAAAACCAGTGATCATAATATTTCACTGTGAAATTTGCCTGCCTCAAAAAAAGTTTTTTGAAGATTCTTTTCTTCGTCAAAAAAATATTTTTACAAAAAAAAAAAACAAAGTGGTGTATTATAAATTGTATTAAGATACATTACAGATAAGTATAGGTAAAGGTCCACATTTTCTGGTGTAGCTTATAATAATAGCCCATAGAATTGTAAAATTAAAGTAATTAGAAACGAATTAAGTTGCAATATACTCCAAAAACAACAAATTCTTGCCTAATAAAATTTTAAATGGGCCTACATCACCCTAATAGTTTCGCGCCATAGTTCCTTGATCCCACATTCTGCAATCTTTCTAGAACTAGAAAAAAAAAGAACTTTTGGGTGTTTCACTCCCATCAGCCACTAATGCTGGTGGTCGAGCAGTCCTTCCGGAAGGCCTTCTTCAGTTTCCTTGCAGGAATCGTGGGAATGGATGGGTGATGTTTCGGGTGAGGAAGATAAGACGAACGAAATGAAGACAGAAGAGAATGAAAGATTATCTGTGGAATATAACTACCCCAGCATTTGCCTAGGTAATCCAAGGAAGCCACAGATTTGGACAAGGCAGACGAACCCGGAATCGAACCGACGTCCTCCCGAATGCTAAGCAATGATCTAAACCTCTAGGTCATGCCGCTCGGTCTTTCTAGAACAAGTCCAGCCCTTATAAATAGTTGCCACGAGGTCGGAATAGACACCAAACGTCATGCCTTTGAGAGTTTTAGTTGATTGCTTAGCATTTGAGAGGACTCTGATTGGATTCCGGTTCCGTCTGCTCCTGTCCAAGTTTTTCTATGGTTTCCTTGTACCATTTAGGCAAATACTAGGGTAGCAATATTCCACAGATAATATTTCATTCTCTTCTGTCTTCATTTCGTCCATCTATTCTTTCTTACCTCAACCACCACACTAACCAGCCATTCTGACGATTCCTCAAAGAAGGCTGAAGAAGGCCTCCCGTCCTACCTTTTGGCGTAGTCCGTAGGGACTACCCGCCCAGTAGTATTAATATCTGGTAGAAATGAACCACACCAAAGTTTGCATTTAAACACGGGGAGCTTTCCGGAAATGATAACAAAAATTCATACAAAGCTACATGAACATGATAGTTTGAAATATATTCAATAGGTGGCGTAAAAGATTACTAGTGTTTTTGTTTTAATAAGTTTTAGTATGTATGTTTTGATGTAATTATTTCACCAATTTAACACAACCTTTATGAGTCGTTACGTAACACTTAAGTTAACGCAATATGTTTGGGTTAACGCATCGGCGCAGGAAATATTAGTATTTCACCCACGTCGAGTCTGCCAGTAGTAAGTTTATTGTGATAAACTGAGGTGAGTCTCCCTTTTTCTATTTAAATTTATTTAAGTAATTTATTCAGTACTACCTTTTCCCACCTGCCTTTATTATTATTTATGTAAAAAATTTTAAGACTTCTAAATTGCGGTAGTTTCGGTTAAATATACATTCATATATAATATAAACATGGAAATATACCAAATCAGTGTGCTTTTAAGTATAGCCTAGAGCGAATTCCCTCTTAATTATTTTAAAGAGAATATGATTACAAAATGTATTGAAATTCCGTAACAAAAGCTGTAAAGAATCACGTATTCCAATTTTAAATGAAATTTTCTTTGATAAGGGTTAATTAGACACGCTAATATTAATTTCTTTCTGGTTTAATTGTTTCATATCTTCAAACAAAAGTCTTTGCTTTCCTAAATTTCTGAGAATGTTGAATTTTCCGATGCTGGCAACATGCTCAAATTCTGCTTGTCTGCATCTCTTTCTGTTAGTGTTCTCTGTAATTCCTACCTGACATTTTTTTTTCTATATTTGCAATATTTCCTACAACGTCTGTCGTGAGTAAAAATAGGTATGAAGAAAGGCCTTCTACTATTGGCATTTTTATTGCATATGAGCCTTTATACTTCAGATAGCTCAGAGTTTAGTGTAATGTTATGTTATCTTTCAAAGAAAACTGTACTCATATAGACTTGTCGAGTGATATAGAAAACACTTTTTTCTGAAACTGCTGCAGATACGATTTTTTAAAAACAGATAAAACTGAAATTAAGGTAATATGCACCCTTTCAAGGAAAAATTAATTGACGTACTTGTCCAATCCTCCAAAATTTAGTACAATTGTACTAAGGATTAATTTTCAGCGTTCTCTTACTTTAATGATATGTACACTAAAAGTTAGCATTTTCAAACAAATTTTCTTATGCCTTTGACGCTTTCTCGAGGGCAAAGGAATGAATTTGGTATATGGATAAGTTCAACTGATTTATTTTGATCCCACGGACCCGTGGATGCTCTATATAGACGGAGTTTACAGGCATCTTGTACATACTTACCTCATCATCATTATAAGGTCGCCAGTCCTAATACAGCTTGACATGCACCTCCACTCTTTCCTATCCTGAGCTAATCTTCGCAATTCTCTAAAACTAGAACATCCTACATCCTTAACTATTTGCGAACAGTAATCAAATCTGGGTCTACCTCTACTCCTCCTAACTCCCGTTTGTGCCTCTAATATGTCTCTGACTAGACCTTCATGCCTTAGAAGGTGTCCTATCTACCTAACTCGCCTATTTCTTATTGACTTCCATAGAGTTCTCTATTCTCCAATTCCTTCTAATACATCTTCATTTCTAACCTTCTCTATCTACTCTATCTTCATCATTCGCCGGTAATATTACATTTCGAACGTTTCTAACCTTTTTATCTTTTATGCGGATGTTTGTTCCTTCCTGAGAGCGCTAGGAATCATAATGCCAATAATACCTAGGATCTAGGATCAAATTAAAACATCCAAAATCACGTTTTTTTAACAACTTAGAATTCTAGCAGATGCTTTGTGCTTTCAAAAGTTTCAGTACGCCTACGATATTTGCATAAGACGAGAGGTCTGTGAATTTTTATTATCGTAATTTGCTTACCTTATTTCCGTTTGCTTTTTAAAATACGCGTACTCACGGCGCGGAAAAGAAAAGGTTAGAAGCGTTCGAAATGTGGTGTTATAGGCGGATGATGAGGATATCGTGGGTAGAAAAGGTTAGAAATAAAGAGGTATTGGAAAGAATAGGAGAACAGAGGACTCTATGGAAGTCAATAAAAAATAGGCGAGATAGGTTGGTAGGACACCTTCTCAGGCATGAAGGTCTAGTCAGAGACATATTAGAGGCAGAAACAGGAGTTAGGAGGGGTAGAGGTAGACCTAGATTAGATTACTGTTCGCAAATAGTTAAGGATGTGGGCTGTTCTAGTTTTAGGGAAATGCGAAGTTTAGCTCAGGATAAGAAAGAGTGGAGGTACGTGTCCAACCAGTCTTAGGACTGACGACCTTATGATGATGATACTCAACTCACCGAATCAATTGTTTTATTTTGTGATCCGTATAGATATCAAAATTCTATAGAGTAAATACGTGATGAAAGATGAAAAATAAAAGGCATAAACTATAAGAAAAGGTTGTATTTATCTCATTTTATCATTTTTAGTTATCTAAAATTTTTAACTTTAACATGATTTGATTTTTTCACTTCTAAATGATTACATAAGTACATATAAATAAATAAATAAATAAAATGAGGATGCTGATGGTATGGCAATTGACCCGTTATCAATTCAATGTATAAGTTCTAATGATGAAGACCGAATCCCAAACCATGTCCAAGACCGAGTCCGTGTCCTCCGATGGCAAGAGCTGGAGCGGCGACAGCAACTTTAGCAACGGGAGCGGCAGCCACAACGGGAGTAGCGTGGAGAGCAAGAAGGTTGCTGTTTTGGTAGGAGGAAGCAGCTGGGGCATGGACCGCTACGGGTGCGATTGCTGGGGCTACAGCAATACCATGGCCGATTAATCCAGCAGAAGAGACGGCGACGAGGAGAGCGAATATGGCTGCCTGTGGAGAAAATATAAATTGTATTATAAGTACTTGTGGTTTTAGATTGAACAATAAAACCTCTATTCAATACATTAATGTGAATTAATTTTTGAATCAATTTTTGCCATTACAGATAACCGTGAATTGATGAGGAATCGTAGCTAGGGTTCGATTCCCGACGAGGGCGTAACAAGAACAACAATTTCACCCCATTAATTTGAGGTTATCTGTGGTGATAAAAATTGATTCAAAAATTAATTGACTTTAATATATGTATTGAAACTAACCATACAATAATTCTTCTAAATGTCTCAGAACTTAAATTTTTAAATTTCGTTTGTCATCAGGGCTACTGAGAACAGATATGAATTATTTTTATTAGCAGCACTTTAAATATATCCAAATGGATAGTTGCGGCATTGATATTCTCAATTATACAAGAGCGCTACCCGATAAGATAGAAGAAAATCAAATAAAGCACTGTAAAACTGAACTAAATTAAACACTGTAACCCAAAATTTAACATAAAACCTATAGAGACCCCATGGGTAACCTCAGGTATCATTATCAGTTAAGAATTTAGTGCTTGTGTTCAGTTTCTAGGCATATTACGGCTTATACAATATTATTAAACGGTAAGATGAGAAGAAAAGTTTTGATAAGAGAGTAACGTACATCCACTGCTTTAGATGCAAGAAGAAAAAAAGGAATGTACGCTCGGAATAACGAAGAAGTAGTAACAAAATAAGAAACTTTGAAAGCTTGGGGTATGTGATGAAAGAAAACATTATCGGTAACCATTACAACTTGATGGTAAATATAAAAGCGAGTTTATACCAAGAAAACAGGTTTTTAAAGGAGGGAACTATCTTCTGTGTAACTTTCTTAGTTAATAATTTGGAAAAGGGAAAAGATTTGAATAATTGGAAACATTGTTATAAGATCATGTAATATAAGTTGTTTTATTGACTTTTACAAAATAGTCATTAACATTTAAAAAGAAATAATTAATAAAATACTTTAGAAGAATTATGAAATTTGAAGTTTTCATCGGCGTATTCACCTCAAAAAGGAAACGGAGAGAAGCGACAAAAATGAGAATAAAATTTTTAGAGAAGAGCTTAACCTTAACAAATGAAGAAAAAACAAATTAGTTCTTTAATATTATAATCTAAATACGGAAAAAAAAGGCGACAGGGAAGATGGTATAATAAAAGGACATGATAAACGCTTGTGAAGTTAATATGTAAAGAAACAGGAATTTTAGAAAATTAACAAAAAGGGATGGAAAATAATTTGTTTGGAAAAATAAAAACGTGCAGGTATAGCAAAATGTGTAGAGTTAAATAAATATAAAAATATACACTAGGTTTTATTACACCCGCGACTTTGCTTGCGTTGATGTTTTCTTTTATTGGTTTTCATATAAGAATTTAAACATTCAAAATAATACTTAGGTTATTAGTACTGTATACTTCAATTCAAGTTCGAACAATTTCCGTAAACAACGACCACATAAAGCTAATATTTCTTTCCCCTCGGGAACAGTATTTTTTTCTGGATAAGAGGCACGATATAGCTAATAAATACCTACTTGATTAATGATGAACCTTTCGTATATGTATTTGTTGCAACTTCAATTTTCCCCACTAACTAAACATTGTCATTTTTTATATTTTTGATGCAGACAAAATACCCGATATTGTAGCAAAAAATTGCTTTAAAAAGGAAACAAGTAATTGAAAAAGATAAAAGAAAAAAAAATTATTTGTGGAATGTACAGCTTCCTTAATCATATTAAGAACATTGAAATGAGAATTTCCTTCACCTCTTTATTAGCTCTAATTGCCTTTTGTATGTAATTAGCAAAGAATAAAAACCTTGTTACTGCATTACATAAAGTAACAGATTCATAAATTAAACAAACCGTGAGAATGAAACAGCCTTTTTGAAAAAGAAATAAAACACTTCGTTGACTTCCTAGACCTTCAGCCTTGCAACTTATCTTTTTTTTTAATTTACACATTCTATGAGTGAGTAATCACAGGGAAAATGGTATAAAAATACTCAGCAATGTCGAGTGGACTTATATAACTCTAATAAAGAAACCGTGTTGAAAAGATAACATTTTTGAATAAAAATTATAAATTAAAATATAAAAATTGAGTCATAATTTTTACATATGATAATTAATTAATCTCAACTTTATGTAGTGCTTTATGGTATCCTATAGTGTTTTCCTATATCTACTTATTACTTTTTTGAAACGCTTTGATAGTTAATAGTGGTTAATATTAAATATTAATGTGAAAATTAATTTTCAATTTTTTACCCACTATAAACTATAATGGGTAGATGTTTTTCACAAACCGCAGATAAATAGCAAGCGTTGAAAGCAGAAACCGTATTCAGAAATTCTGATCAACATTTTAAAGGATATGGATATGGGAAACATAGGGATGCATCTACATAGCTTAACCTAATTTCTATTAACATTGAATAATTAAATCATAAGCTCATTACTTATTTTGGTTTTAACTGAACGTTTATAGTTGCTTTAACCAAACATTTATAATCTTTGCAAAATATTAACTCAAAGAATTATTTAGTTGCTAGAGACTTATGTGCTGTAGATACTGGAAAAATTAACTAATTTTTTGTTTTATTCTCACCGATAATGATTAATAATAGTTTAGATTGTCGTTTACTTCCGAAATTACCGAATGAAATTTCTTTTTCTTTAATATATTCGTTAGATTTTTACTTAGAGCATATTGACCTCGATAAGACAAATTCTACAGAAGCGATTGTCTAAGAGTATATCCCTTTGGATTTGTAAGATTAATCAGGTAATCAAATAATAAATATCTAATGTTAAGTCTAGCTATTCTGTTACACCCTTTGCTTCATCAGGTGAATTATGTACGGTATAGCGAACCAATTAAAGGGAAAGTTATTAGATTATTATTATTATTATTGTATTCAAGTTTCATTGAACCGCCTGAAATAAATTTTGTACGAAAACAATAGCAAAAAAAATAAAATTTCCGTGTTAATATTCCGCTACTGAAAAAGACCATTCAATGGTGCAATGAAACAGTTGCGAACGGTTTCAATTTCAATACAATTAGCGCGCTAAAGTCAAAGCGACGTTCTGAATAACAATGGAGACGAAGAGGTCAAAGAAACTTCGCGACAAGCATTTATTGTTGACGTTGAATAAGGAATTAATGCACGACGATGTCGAGCAAATGAATCACCACACTTAACACAATGGATACATGAATTCACAATGGATATTACGCTTGTAAAGTTCTACTTACGAATTTGAACATTTTTGAAGTGTCTGTCGATTTTTTTATGAGTTACTTTCTTAAGAGACCGTTCGCTTTTGCTGAACTGCAACTGAATACAACTTAACGCAGATTTCAGGAGATTAAATACTCTCAAAACACCCCACTGCACCCTTAAAACTGGAGCAAGGGCCCCTTTCGAAAGACACCATATTGCCCCAGAAAAAAATCACATTTACGCTCTACTTCACTTCTCTCTCCTCAGCAACAAGTAGCAGTACATACCTACGTACTATATACCTACCTATAATCTGCTCGTTGTCATTAGATATTATTTGACCAGTTACTTTCGGTTGTTAGAAAAGGATCAAAAATGAAAATCCGAGATCATTCGGTTACATTGCTGGGTACCCACTGTTGAAATTGACAGTGACATGTGGAGTTGCCAATAAAATTATGCAATGTTTTTAACTGTTACTGTATCTACTTAGAGGTATATTATTATTGCATATGTTTTTATTGAATTGATTAGACGAACTACGAGGTATAGTCGAAAAAAAAAGCTAAATTCTAGTTAAAAACAGTGCAACGTTTAAAAGTATTGTAAACTAAGTCGCTATTTCTTCTCATTACTGTTGTTCTACGGAAATACTATTGCTAAACTTTGCAGTTGCACGTGGAATACATAGGCGCAGTACGTAGACTCTATACAGTAGGTTCACTCCTTTGATATGCTTAAAATACCGACATCTTTTGCAGGCCATCATAAATTAACTTTATGTGCGCTGAACTGTCATATACGAAGATGATTCAATAGATTTACCGAAGTGTTTAAATCATCATTATCATCATATGGACATCAGTCCTCACACTGGTTGGACACGCACCTCCATTCTTTTCTATCCTGAGCTAATCTTCACATTTCCCTAAAACAAGAACAACCCACATCCTTAACTATTTGCGAACAGTAATATTATCTAGGTTTACCTCAACCCATCCTAACTCCTGCTTCTGCGTGTAATATGCGGCGCAGTAAGGGTGCGAAACATGGATAGTGGGCGCGGTGGAAAAGAAAAGGTTAGAAGTGTTCGAAATGTGGTGTTACAGGCGAATGATGAGGATACCGTGGATAGAGAAGGTTAGAAATGTAGAGGTATTAGAAAGAGTAAGAGAACAAAGGACTTTATAGAAGTCAATAAGAAACAGGCGAGATAGGTTGGTAGGGCACCTTCTCAAGCATGAAGGTCTAGTCAGAAACATATTATAGGCAGAAACAGGAGTTAGGAGGAGTAAAGGTAGACCTAGGTTTAATTACTGATCACAAATAGTTAAGGATGTGGAATGTTCTAGTTTTAGGGAAATGAGAAGATTAGCTCAGGATACGAAGAAGTAGAGGTGCATGTCCAAGAGGTCGATGACGATTCTTTTTTTCTATTTTTGATAACCTAGCCGTACGTTTCTAATTGTTTGTGTTTTAGTTCATAGATATTTCAATAATATATTATCAGAAAATTATGCCTGTTTACGTCTTTTTATTTAAAAAAAATAGTTGTTTTTGTCGCCAAAAAAATTTTAACTGCTATAAATCCACTCGCAGCAAATTTAGCTACAATGAAAAAATACATACATCGTCGGTCGTTTTGGATTCTGATTCTTGTATGTCTGTCGAAAACGTTCGACAAACAAAAAACTGTATATCAGAACTAGACAAGTCAGAATATAACAAATAAAATTTTAAATGCTGGCAGTTACAGTGTTAAAAATAAAAACAATAAAGCTATGATTTTCATACAATTCGTCTTTCAAAGTAAGACTAACTTATGCTTGGTTTCGATATCCTTAATCAGTCACAAAACTCTAAAATGAAAAGGCAATTTTTAAAAGTCATATTCCTTTGGATTGTTAACCTCACATCTCAACATAATAATAACAACAACGTTGCATTGAACTTGAACGTAAACATCTTCATTGCCATAAATATAGTAGGTAATTGCACCTATGGCATAATTACGACTGGTGTGTGGTAATCACGATGATGATTCGTTTCGAACGAAAGTGAGATTCTCTAAACACACGGCCGCCAAAGGCTATTTCCGACGAGACGGTATGCTGATTTTGCAATGTGGAAGGAATGACGAAGCATAAAATTAATTCGCAATAACTAACATAAGTAGATAGGTAGTGAACTTGTTAATAGAAATGAAATTAACTGATTAGCAATTGAAAAGTATTCATATATATTTTAAAGGTCATTACAAAATACCAATAATAACGAAATTTTCATTCACCGTGGAAATTTTTGTTGTATTATTTTATAAAATATTTTGAACAATATTTGAAGCGAAATGGAACATTTGATATTGGCATTATGCTATTAAGATGATTTATTACTAGAAAAATGTTTAATAATTTTTTCGACCTATATGGACATATTATTAGAATCTAATGAATATATCTCATTTAGTTCAATTGTTTATCAACGTACATTAGGTATGTTATTGTTTAAGTCATGAAAACCTGATATTGTATTATTATTTTAAGTGGTAATCATGATATTGGTACAGTTGCAATAATTCAATGAATATTAAATGTAAATGGGAATGATGTTAAATGATAATTGTCACAATAGTGAGTGATTTCATATAAGTTCATATTTACATAAACACTTGTCCACCCATCGGCATAGTCTAGAGTAGAGGTTATAAGACTATTACTTATCATTTAGGAGAACAAGGATCTATCTGTCCTAGTCTTAGTTTTTCTGTGATTTCCTTGGATCCTTGGATCACTTATTCAAATGCTGGGACAGTAATATTCCATAGATAATCTTTTACTCTCTTCTGTCTCTTCATTTTGTCCATCTCATCTTTCTCACCCCAATCACCCATTCCCACTTTTCATAAATCCGAGGGAATTGTCCGCCCATCAGTATTAGTAAATGGTTGGAATGAAACACCCAAAAGTTTTTTTTTAAACACGATATAAGGAGAGCTTTCCATCAACGAAAACACAATGTCACGGAAAGTGATACAAAGCTGGGTGCTCATTGGAATACGATAGTTGGAAATATATTCAGTAGGTGGCATAAAAGATTACATTAGTGATTTTTTTGATTTAAATGTTTTATTATAAAACAGTTAGAAGATTTTTTTAAACATACGGAACGTTTAAATGTAAACGTTTTAATGTTTTATATAATCAAGTAAAACATTTGTACTGTTTTACATAATAATTTGAAACGTTTGTACTGTTTTATCGAATCGTTTAAAAGATTTGCGCTGTTTCATATATTAATTTAAAAAAATTGTCCTGTTTTTCATAATCGTTAAGCATTTTTACTGTTTTCATTCAAAACAGTAGGATTAAAAAAAAAAGTAAAACGCTTTATTTTAAAATACTTAAAAACACTTGGATTTACTATGATATGATAGTAGTTTGATGTAGAAATTTAAAAGGTCGTTGTCGGCGAATTAAATTTTTCACTTATTAAACTATTGTAGCAGCATACTGCATGATCATTACAATAACAATGACAAATACAATTTTATCTATTCAGATTCTGATGAAGATAAAAATGAGGAATCAGTTTTCTTTTTTGTACAAAACAAGATTGGATTACTTTTGTAAAGTTATTAGAACTCAATATAGAATTCTAAATAATTTATAAAGGAATAACAAGCCATTACACAATACAAATG